GCCTGGGCACAGCCAAGAAGCAATTCTCCAAAGAGTCATGCTCGCCAGTTCTCCCTTAACTAGATTAGAAAAAGCCCAGAAAACCAACAAGAGAAGATGGGGTTGCACAGGGGAGGGAAGCAAAGCAACAAAAGAGCTGGAAGCACAGAAGACTCTTGGGGAAGGAATTAAGAATATGTCACTCCAAAATATGCTGCTCTGATATTGACTTCTGAGTTAAGGCCACTTGAAAAATAGCAGGTACAAGACCATTCTGCCCTTTTTGCTGTTTCTTAAAAGCAGGAGATGAAATCCTTATGTGAAATGAGAAAGTTACCAGACAGTCTAATTAACAGTCTTATCAAAGAAAGTTATGGCCATGGAGAATTTGTACAAATTTCATTACACTAACCCTTATCATCTAGCCACTTCTCCCAGTTAACTACCCTAGCCCAGGCCTCTTTTTGGCTTTGCTACATTTTCATAATTGACTACTCTTTGTCCAGTCCATTAAGTATTTGTTCAATTCTCACTGCATCTGTGGGGCTTCATTTCCTTATGAGGGCTCTCCTGTCACATAAAACTTACATTAAATAAATGTGTGTGCTTTTCTCCTGTTAATATTTCTTATGTCAATTCAGTTTGCAGGCCCAGCTAAAAAACTAAGAAAGCAGACATAAATTTTTGCCTTCCCTACAATATTTACTGGAGACTACAGAGAACTTTATTATCACCAGGTGCTTTTTCAAGTTTATGTATTAATTATTGATTTGCTTACCATGGCAAGGGAGCACATGGCATCAAAAGAGGTTTGGAAGCATCTTGGAGCATCTTGGAAAAGGAGAGCAGGCTGGATTTTACTGAGATGTTGAGGTTTGGTTTAAGCCTGGAATTTCACTGTGGGTGGGGTTGCGGTGAGGCTTGACTAGGATTGGATAAGGATCATGATCTAACAGTTTAGAATTCCAGGTACTTTTTCATGCTCTAGAAACCATGTAAATAAGGAACTAAATCATAAAAAAAAAGAAACCATGGCTAAAAGCATTCCTGCTACAACGTTGTTCTGCCTTTTAAAACAATTATTTTTTGAGATGGAGTTTTGCTCTTGTTGCTCAGGCTGAAGTGCAGTGGCATGATCTCAGCTCACTGAAACCTCCACCTCCTGGGTTCAAGCGATTCTTCTGCCTCAGTCTCCTGAGTAGCTAGGATTACAGGCATGCGCCACCATGCCCAGCTAATTTTGTATTTTTAATAGAGATGGGGTTCCTCCATTTTGGTCAGGCTGGTCTCAAACTCCTGACCTCAGGTGATCCACCTGCCTTGGCCTCCCAAAGCGCTGGGATTATAGATTTGAGCTACCATGCCCGGCAACAATGTTTTGCAATTATATTACCTAACTGTACTCCTTTAAGAATCATGTATGGGCAATATTTTTTTTAATTAAATAAGCTGAATCTCTTGGTTAAATCTAGACTTTAGCAGAAGACTCTTAGGTTTTAGAGCTTGGGGGAGAAGGTAAAGCAGAAAGAAATTACGAGGCACAATTTTTGCTTCCTATTATTTGAAAACTTCTGCATCCCTCTTAATCTTACTGTCAATAAACTGAAACTTACCTTTGTGTCACCTCCAAAGAAAACCCCAGGCTGATGGTAGAAACAGCATAGGGAAAGGAACATTGCCATCAGTTACTGAGGAGGTGTTATAGATGGGTGTGCTGGATAGAGACTGAGGATGCAGTTCTAGAACATAGGCCCTGTAAAGAGAAACCATGTATGGGAGGACTTCAGAACAACAGTAATTTACATGCAAACAATGACTGGACTGATGACAACTGTTCCTGATGTTAGTCCAGAAGGATGCAAAAGATGCCAAGGTTTGAGCCTGTTTAACTGTGAAGAAGGCCTCCAACAAAGATGCTCACGTTTTTCCTAACTCTTCAACCAGGATGTCAGCATCCAAACTGGCAAAGGTCACAAAGGTGAGGCTCAGCTTATATGGAAGGTAACAGAAATAGGACCCAAGAAGATTGCTTAGATCTAGTAAGATGAATTTTAACAGAGAGAAGTACAAAACTAACACGTGCCCAAAATTAACTGTATTTGTTAATGGAGAAACGTCGTTCACGGAGAGTTGCAGTTTGTGGAGAAACGAGGTTTGACAGGAGCATCTGTAGAGGACAGTTCAGCGTTTTGGCTGACTGTATGTTTGGCATGAGTCACAGTTTGGTACGAGACTGCCAAAAGAAAACAAAATGCAGCAAAACAAAAACAAAACCATCGTGGTCCTGGACAGCATGAGAACCACAAAGCTGCAGAATGCGAAAGCCTAATGGAGAACATGAATCCCTGTTTCTATGAATAATACCACCCTAACAGGAAAGCGTTTCCACAGTTTAGACCTTGGGACTGAGGAAGGGACCACCCCAGTCTGCTGTGTCCTGAGCACACACCCTGAGAAATGAGTTTGTGTCTGATTACACCCCTCTGCTGGGATAGTAACTGATGGAAGTTAAGCAGCCTAGAGGGAAGCCAGTGACACAAGAGGGACATGGAAACGTTAAGGCTGAAGAAGTAATGACTCAGAAGAGGAGTGAAAGCTGGCTCTAAATATTTAAAGAACTTATTAAAACACAAATTGCTGAGTCCCACAAGTTCCCACGTGATGCTGATGTAGCTGGTCCTGAGGCCACACTTTGAGAACCACGGCTTTAAGTAACAAAATTGTAATTGGTTTTCTTTCTTTTTTTTTTTTTTTCTTTTTAGATGGCGTCTCACTCTGTTGCCCAGGCTGGAGTTCAGTGGTGCAATCTTGGCTCACTGCAACCTCTGCCTCCTGGGTTCAATTCTCCTGCCTCAGCCTTCTGAGTAGCTGGGATTACAGGCGTGCATCACCACACCCAGCTAATTTTTGTATTTTTAGTAGAGTCGGGGTTTCACCATGTTGGTCAGGCTGGTCTTAAACTCCTGACCTCATAATCCACCCCATCTCGGCCTCCCAAAATGCTGGGATTGCAGGCGTGAACAACCATGCCTGGCCAGTTTGTCTTTTTCCAACTGTCCTAAATAAGATTCCACTAAGACCTGATGGCCTGTTTCTCAGTAAATCCACATTGGGAGGAATTTACTGGTTTTGAAGCCTCACACATTTGTAATTTAAATTATGTTCTTTCTAAAATTTCATATCACTTAGCAGAAATTCAATCTCTCCTTTCTGACCCTTAGTGTTTCTTATTAGTTCAGCATCATAAAGCAGACTTCTGTTTGCACTTCATTTTCTGGCATCTCAGACATTTTTTCTCTGGTCTCTACCACTTTGCCTGTATTTTTCTGTTATGTTCAGCAGATCAAGCTTCATAACATATTAAGTTGTGAGCTACCTTTATCAAATGTTATCTGGTACCCCACATCTAAAATAGTAAACACTGATCTAATCCTGTCCCCAAATGCCCACACTGAGCCCATCATCCCCAGAGATCTATTAGGATGGAAACAGCTGCATTCAATTCCTGATTAATTTTCTTTTATCTTATATACTTGAAACTTCAGCCTTTAGATCCTACTAGGAAAATTACCAGCATATGGGAATGCATATAAATGACATGCAAAGCAATGCAAATTAATACAAAACATACATCTCTAAATTGCTTGAGAAAAGTCTCTAAGCCTCAACGTTGATGTTATTTGCTTTGCTTCACTACACTCTGGCAAGCAGTGACTGGATCCTTTTATTACAGTTAATTTTATACAGCATCGAGCACCTGACACTTGTTGACACATTAAGTGGAAGGTGCTTTGCCTTTGAGTCAGGCAAATGGTATCCTGATCTTAACTTTAACCACTCTTTGGCTGTATAACCTTGGACAGGTTCTCAACATTCTCCAGGTTCCAGATTCTACAACTAGAAATGATAGACATGACATCATGATAATACAACCACCAGCACTAAGGTTTATTGAGCACTTACTATGTGCCCGGCATAAGGCACACACTGTGCATGCATAATGCACACAGGCACTCCTTACAACAGCCCACAAGGAGGTGCTATAGAGCATGTACCCCTAAGGTGCGGTGCCATTTCAGAGACCAGGAAACCGACAGTAAGGTCCGGAAGCTTGTATCAGGTCCTAAGCTAGACAGTGACAGAGCCAGACCCAGAGGCTGAGCAGTCTCACTGCAGAGGCCTTGCTCTTAGCCATGCTGCCGCTCTGCTGCGTGATTATCATACATTTTTCTCCTAAGCATTACATTTGTATGATCTGTGAAGTAAATCACTCAGTCATAATGTGATTTAAAACACTGTTTCTGTAAGATGTTGACAGTTTACATTATATGAACTTGATATCAAAATAACATCACAATCCAAGGGGGTAGGATCAGACACCCTGTGTGCTCAACTTCTCCTTCCAACTCACTCCATCACATTCACACATGACTAAGGCTCCCGCATCTTAAATTTCCTAGCCCTCTATCCCACCTCTCACTCTGGGAGCAGCTTCCAGTCCTCAGCCACCAGCCCCTCGCCCCCCGGCCCCATCCATCCAGGATTCAGACTTCTAGTACAGATGGCCATCTTTGGAGAGTCAGCCAGCAAATGTGCTATGCGGCCACACAGGAGCCTCAAAAGCTGCCCAGACTCAATAAAAACCAAACTTGTCTTTCCTCCTCCAATGTTCCGTTTCTGTAAATAGCAGCACCCAGGCTTAGCGGGAGTCACGCTGCACTCTCACACCCTACACAAAACTCATCTGCACTCTCACACCCCACACACAACTCAGCCCCAAGTCACTCCAGAGCTGGCCTTGAATCCACCCACTGTGTCATCCCTACCGCCACTGCCTCAGCCACAACTGCCAGGCCTCCTGCACCCTCTGACCCAGCCCTGTCTACTTAGGGGCTCCGCAAGTCCATTCTCCACGTGACAGCTGGAGTTTCGTGTTTTTATTCCACATCTCATCTGCATACTAGCAGGTGTGAAACTGCCCGCTGTCTACAATGCCCCTTAGCACCACCTGGCCGTGGTACCTGCTGGCCTCCCCTGGTGCCATTCTCCATCCTCCTCTCAGGTCATACTGAACCTGTCTTTCTTCCAACTTTCAGGCTCTCCTCTCCTCTGGTCTCAGCACACACCATTCCCTGGGGTGGGAATACTCCCCATTCTCCCCCCTCCCCTCTCTCATGGCTGCTTAGTTTACACATCTCCTACTCATCCTGGAGCCCAACTTCAATCTCCCCAGCAAGGCCTCCTGCCTCAGCACAGATGCAGTGAGCTGCAGCACATCTGAGCCTCACAGCAGCCAGTGCGCCTGGTTTACAGCCAGTGCTCCACACAGGTGGACTGATAAATTCACTTTTCAGCCTTGCTTTGCTCATTTTTACTGTCTCACTGCATTCTTCCTGCATTGTAGCCTAAGAAGGAAAGACTCTGAAGCTGACTCTGTTTTCTCTCTCCTATGTGGTGCTGTGATAAGCCCCAGGTCACCAGGTCGCGCTCCCAGCACCCGTGGCTGAAGGGTGACACAGAAACAGCAGCGTCAAGTACAGAACCCCTACCTGCCCTCTTTCCCCCTCCCTTCCTAGAAAACCACAGGTCATTCAAAGTCAGTTTGGGAAGCACCTGTATTTATGGCCTGCTTATCTTAAAGGCACTTGGCTAGGTGCCATAAAGTGCCAACTCTGACCGACTGCCCGATTATGCCATTCACCCCTACCTACCTCTGTGCAGGAGACATGACATTTAGCAAATAAGTGTAAACTTTTTTCCTCCAAAGAAAAGAGTATAAACCTTCTTATCCCACCACCCCATAGCAGTTAACTCCTTTCAGTCCCCTCAGAGACAATTCAATGGGCACACAATTCTTTGGCTACTGTTTCTTTCCTGATGCCAGTAAGAGACAATCAACATCTTAATTGATCATTTCTCACACAAATTTGGATCCTTAGAAATTGCAACATAGGAAATATCTCTATAATGATTCCCTTTTAAAGATTTTACCTCCTGAAGACACTATCAACAAAAGCTGTCAAAATGAACTGTTAGTTTCTAGAATGTCTTAGGCTGACTGATGCTTTAATAGGGACATGTTTTATGCATGCAAGATCAAAAAAGGCCACTTCAGTCTACTCACATGAGACAATTAAATGCATTATATTATCCCCAAAGATGTTAATTTCCTGGCTTGTTGTTCTACCATTTTTAAAGACCAAAAAAAAAAAAAAAAAAAAAAGTAAAAAGTGCCCCTGGGCCAATATCGCGTCTTCGCCTGCCCAGCAAGGGGACAATACACTTTTTTCCCAGGCTACATGACTTGAAAACCTCCCAGTCCGGGAAAGCTGAGTCCTTAAATTTACAAAACACCCACTCGCCCCGTTTGCCTAGCACCGTTTCCTACGTGAAGACTGCAAAGGGACTCGAGCGTCCCGTTTCTCGGCTCGGATCCCAGAGGCTACACCACCTCGCAGAGGGACGATCCCGGCCCGCTCTGCGGCACGAAAACCTGACCTTAAAAAGCGCAGAAGCTGGTCACTGGGAAGGGCGCGGCCTGGGAGGCGCGGCCCGTAGCTTCCGCCGCCAAAGAACAACTCGGAGACCCCCTCCAGCCCCAGTTGCCCTAGCGCAGAAGCCCCGGGAGCAGTCCCTTCCCGCGCCCTGCGCCCGAGTCCCTGTCCAGAAGCTCCGGGCTCTGGCAGCATCGATCGTCCCCGCTGGTCCAGGGCTGCGGAGAAGTGGTGGGCGGCTCGGAAAGACGAGGTCGGGAAGCTGGGCTCAGCAGCTCCTCGGGCCCCCGGCGCCCCGCACAAGCGCGGGCCAAGTGGGGCGGCGCTGGGTCGCGAAGGACCAGGACTGCGGGATGCCCCTGCTCTCGGAAAGGGCGCGCCCAGGAGCCGCGTTCTCGGCACTCGGGGGGAGTCCTGGGAAACCCCGGCGCCGGCGCGCCCGCGACTCCAGCCTGGAGGCTCCGCTCCGCCCTTGAGCCCAGGAAGCCGGCGCCGTGGCCCGCGCCTGTTATCCAGGGCCGCCCTTTCCCAGCGCTGGCTTCGGGGAACTTCTCCGCGTCCGGCCGCAGGCGGCGGCTGCTGCGGGAAGCCCCAAAGTTGCGGCGTCCACTAGGCGCGCGCCGGGGTCACCCACTCGGCCCGCGACCCTGTGTCTGCCCGCCGCGCGCCCTGATCGGCCCCCAGGACTCCCGCAGGCGCGGAGAGAGGCCGGGGTTCAGCCGGGGTCCCCGCGCGGCTCCAGAAGGGCGCCCCCGCCCGCCGCCCGCAGAGGGACGCGGCGCTGAAGTTTTCCCCGGCGGGAAAACGAAAGTCGTGAGGAGCTGAGGGTCGGGGAGTCCCAGTCACCCCGCGGCGAAGACGGGGCTGAGACGGAGCTAACAGCTCCAGCCCCGTGGCCAAGTCGACTTACGAGAGGGAGCGGGGCAGCCCCGAACGCGGGGTCCGCGCGGCTGCGGAGGCCGCCCCGGCGGGGGCCGCGGGCTGCGCTCTGGGCTCCCAGGCTCTCCGCGGCGGCTTGCTCTCGCCCCGCTCCTCCGTCGCCCCTGCTGGGGAGCCGCTCTCGCCCGGCCGGGGGTGGGAGAGCGCCGAGCGGCCCCCGTGACGCGCGGCGAAAGGAGGAGTGCTGCCGCCGCGCTCCCGCAGAGGGAGCTCCCCGCCCTGCGCTCCTGGTCCCAGCGCCGCGCTCCGGACAAAGTTCCCAGGCGCGCGCGGTGCTCTCGGCTCTCCGCCGCTGCCCGGAGCGCCATCCAGCTTTACTTCCCTCCCACATTAAACAAGAACTCAGGTCAGGAGAGCCAAGTGACTTGCCCAAAGTCGTTCAGAAGGCAGTGACAAAGCAAACTCACATCCGCGGCTCCTTATTTCCCCCCGAACGCCGGGCTCTGCGGAGATTCAGGCCCTGCGGGAATCGCCCAACCAGGCAGAAGGCAGCTCGCTCTCATAGGTAAGATGAGGAGTGTCCCACGCAGCCTGAAGAAATATTATCGGCAGCGTGGGAAGGTGGAGCGTTTTGCCCAATAACTAGAGTACAAAGTTGTTTTTCAGCCAGCTCCCACATGCCAAATTGGCTTCCTCTTTATCCTCAAGTGAGGGAGAGCGTGGCGGCTGTGTGGACGCCCTTTGGGATCACCAAATAAGTGCAGGAGAGAAAGCACACAGCTACTAAACCAATTGGCCGACACGGAGGACTCGGCCTTCCGAGCAGGTTCCTGGGAATATTCGAACTTCGTAAAGCGGGTGCGCCTCGCTGTGTTTGCTATTCATGCGCTTCCAGGAGTCTCCCACGAAGCTCCACGCCCTTTCGGGGCCGGGGGCTCCCAGGGCTTGCCTTTCAGGGCAGCGAGTAACACCAGACAAGTTAATCCCAGTCGGTTTGTTCCAGTGTTGACTGAGGGCCCCGCAATGTGCATGCCTGTTGGGTGGGGAGCTGGGTAGGACCCGGTGGGACCTAGGACCTAGGACCTGGTGAGTCTCAAAGAGAGAGCGTCACATAAGACCCCATATACTTTACTCCCAGAACCTGGAGTCGGCCCCAAACAGCAGAGAGACTTTGAGTCTACCCCAGCCCCCACGCCTTTTAAAAACCTCCCTGTGCTCAGAGACCAAGTGTTTTAATATTCATTTTACAGACTTACTTTCAAGCAAAATGGCCAGCTTTGCCTTCATTTCCTCCCCATGGGACCGCCTCTTTCTGGAAGAATAATTTACACTTCCTGGGTCTCCCTCATCTTTACATGATGATGACGGTAGTCATGATGATAAAAACAACTAAGGCTTCTATTATCCACCCTGGGCACCATTCTAAGCAATTTATGCAGATTATCTCTTTCAATCCTCACAACTTTATGAGGGAGGTGCTGTGCTATTGTTATTCTGATTTTGCAGATCATGAGAGGGAGGGAGGCGAGGTGAAATAACTTGCCGGTAAGTGGGTGGTCTGTCTGGTGTCCATTCTCTTAACCGCTGAGGTCTCCAAGAATGGAATTCAGAGACCACCAGCCATCATTAACCACAGCTCACACTTCTCAAACAAGCCATGCTACGAAACACACACTTCCTCCCAAAGAGGTCAATTTTACTATTTTGCATGTATCATGTCATAAAGTGGATATCCATTCACTCACTTCCTTCTCTATTTCCAACTTCTAAATCAACTATTTTGTCCTAAAGCAAACTATTTCTTAAAAACCTATTCATCATCATAAAGTTTGCAAATTTTGTTTTGGATTGTTTTATACTCAGACCATACCCAGCTCTTTCTCTCTCCCCTCTACTCACTGCCTTCAGTTACTCTCTTTCATCCCTTAAAACCTTGCTATAGGCTGGGCGCAGTGGTTCACGTGTGTAATCCCAGTACTTTGGGAGGCCAAGGTGGGCAGATCACCTGAGGTCAGGAGTTTGAAACCAGCCTGGCCAACAGGGTGAAGCTTCGTCTCTACTAAAAATACAAAAATTAGCCAGGCGTGGTGGTGGGCACCTGTAAGCTCAGCTACTCAGGAGCTGAGGCAGGAGAATTGCTGGAACCTGGGAGGCAGAGGTTGCAGTGAACCGAGATCATGCCACTGCACTCCAGCCTGGGCAACAACAGCGAGACTCTGTCTCAAAACAAAACAAAACAAAAAAACAAACAAAAACCTTGCTGTAACCTACTCTACAGGTCTTCTGAAGGTGGGTTTCCCAAGGATGGTAGTGGCCTCCAGAATGGTCTCTGCCACACTGTAAGCATGCTCGCACTCAGCATTCCTGTATCAGCCTCCTAGGACTGCCTAGCAAATACCATGGACTGCACCACTTAAAACAACAGAAATGTATTTCCTCACAGCTCTGGAAACTGGAAGCCTGAAATCAATGTGTTAGCAGGGCTGTGATCCCACTGTGCCCCTTCCTAACTTCTGGTGGTTGCTGGCAATTCTCGACATTCCTTGGCTTGTAGCTGCATCACTCCAGTCTCTGGCCTTTTCCTGCGTCTCCTCTGCAAACACATTTCCCTCTTCTTTAAGGATACTGATCATTGGATTTAGGCCCCACCCTAATCTAGTATGACCTCATTTTAACTTGATTACTTGGTAAAAACCCTATTTCCAAATAAGGTCACATTCACAGGTTCCACGTAGACATGAATTTTCAGAGAATGCTGTTTAGCCCAGTGCAATCTCCAAAAGTCAAATAAAAACATATTGCCTGAGCTAAGGATGCAGAGGTGTAAGTCACAGCCCCTGCCCTCCAAGAAACTCATAATTACAGAGGTAGTCCTTGCACTGAGAACATAAAGACAGGAGTCACTAAGAGCCAACTAACTGGACCCAAATGACAACCTAGGGACCAAATGGGGCACAGTCACTGAGGATATGGCTACAGGACTGCAACTCCAGGGTGAGGGTGATTCAAGCACATCTGTGAGAGAGCAACAGAAAATGCAAAGAGAAATAGCTTATCAGAAATACAGCTCCAAGGGGAAGAGTGTGCCTGGCAGAATTTTACTTCTAGAGTTTCATGCAGAAATGAAAGACTGAAGGGATGCAAATACCTACCATACTGAGTATAAGAACACGGTAAATTACTTTTACTGTACTTTTACTGTACCGTAATGCCATAGCAATTACATGCTTTAAAGTGCTCTCTTCACCGGGCATGGTGGCTCACACCTGTAATCCCAGCACTTTGGGAGGCTGAGCAGGCAGATCACTTGAGGTCAGGAGTTTGAGATCAGCCTTGCCAACATGGCAAAATCCCGTCTGTAGTAAAAATACGATAATTAGCCGGGTGTTGGGGTGGGCACCTGTAATCCCAGCTACTTGGGAGGCTGAAGCAGAAGAATCACTTGAACCTGGGAGGCCGATGTTGCAGTGAGCCGAGATCACGCCACTGCACTCTAGCCTGACAGAGTGAGACTCCTAAAAAGAAAGTGCTCTCTCATTTCAGGATTTTCATTTGATCTTTATGACAATCCTGAATGTCATCAGAGAAAGAGCCATCCTATTTTATAACCAAGGATCCCAAGGCTCAAAGAGTCAAGTAACTTGCACAGGTCAAACAGCAAATCATTTGTAGAGTTGGTATGAAGCATATTGGCCTGGATATTCCTCAGTTAGGAATGTCCCCCTAATGTTGCCTCATGGGACAGCCTTCCAGTATCGATTGAATTGTTTTTGGTCCAAAGAAAGCATTTAAAGAAAAAGTGAATCCTGCAAGAAATCCTAAAAGCTATGTGAATCTCAAACTGGAATTGTGAAAAACCTTCCCCAAACATCTGAACTGATTTCATTAAATCTGCTGAGGATTTGCAAGTGTATTGAAGTCTCCTTTAGGCCTTCAGAGACTTAAAAGGATCTAGTGGGCTTCTATAGAACTTTGCTGATTATCTTAAAGAAATAGGGGTTGACGGGAGGCGGAGGTTGCAGTGAGCCGAGGTCACACCACTGCACTCCAGCCTGACACCTGGTGATGGAGTGGGACTCTGTCTCAAAAAAAAGAAAGAAAGAAAGAAAGAAATAGGGGTTGAATGAAACTTGGAGGTTACTCAGAATCACTGATAAGAAGTGTAGGGGAAGCTGAGCAAAAAAACAAGAAGTTCCATTACAGGATGGCATGCCAGCAGAAATTGACAACTGCAACTCAGTATCTGATCTCAG